AGTACATACTGTAACTGCGTGTATACTCTGACTCTCTCTCTCTCTCTCGCTCTCTCTCTCTCTCTCTCTCTCTCTCTCTCTATATATATATATATTTATGTAGCATACCCAAATGCACAGGTTGTGCATGCATAGGGGAACACATGCATTCGCACAAACCTTTGTGTATGTATATATGCACCACAAGTCATGGCCTGGACACAAGCATGGGGCAGGTCTCGGTCTGTGTAGGTAGATTCGGTGGATACACCTGTTTTCCGGTCTGGTAGACCCACTATACTATGATTATACAGACTTGTGTAGAGGGAATATACATAGGTGTATATTTATATATAGATATATATATATATATGGGTGTATATATATATATATCTACTGAGAGAGACTGTGTGTTTGTTCTTAGTTCTGTCCACAATATATCAATTGTGTGTATGTATGTGTAGGTACATACAATCTATTCTTGCAGCCATCTCTCTCTCTCTCTATATATATATATACATTTATATATACATATATGTATAAGTATATTCATATCATGCATGAAGCTAGTATCATACATATACCCACCTTTTCTATCTATGTGTCGAGACGAGAGCGCGAGTGAGACCAAGTAGATCGAGAGATATGACAAGCCCCAATATAGCTCCCCGTCAGATTGCACTGGGAAAATATGGTTTTCTCCATGCAACCTACCGGACAGGGTTTCTAGGGGCTTCCTGTTTGATCGTATATAAAACCCATGTACTACTATGTAGTAACATATATAGGGCTAGGGTTAGGCGGGGTATTGGTTCGATTCTTCAAAGCAGTCATTAAATTACTTTTCACGAGGTTTCCTGATTGATCGATGGATGATCTGCTCCTGCCACAGGAGCTACAGGCTGAACTTGCTGTGTTGGAAAAGAAGCCCACCCGCTTGGCCTCCATTTCGACATTGTCGTTGGACTCCCAAGAGGCACGTGTTGGTATCAAGTATGGTGTTTGGCCGATCAGTCTAATTTAATTGATTCTGAGGTCTCTCATAATGTACAATAGATATACATCTATATATATATATATACATATATATATATATATTGTCCAGATCTTTCTCACTAGCCCATGAAGTATATAAAGTAGTAAGCCCGGAAAGTAAGTAGTCCAAATCTAATGCGAACAAATGTGACACTATGCAAACACAAAGTACTCTAATGTGATGAATGCAGGATGCACAGCGATCCCGAGCTTCCCAAGCTGACACGATCCCCGCCGACATCCCGGAGACCTTCCCGACTACGCAGGCGAGGGTTGCTAGATTTCATGAACAGTGAGAGGTAACTTCTTGTGATCATGTCGTCGGCCGATTATGTAGACTTATCTCTTAATTATGTTTTGCAGGTCGATGAGCCAGCGGCGCCTCCTCCGCCCGTCCCAGCCGCGGAAGCCACGGTCCCACCACCTGAGCAGTCGGCAAGCATGCCGGCATCCAAGAGTGAAGAAGAAGAAGAAGATCAGGAGGAGCAAGAGGAAGAGGCGAGTGGCGAGGAGAAGGCACACCATGTTACGTAGGATCCTACAGTGTCACAGTATCACAGGATTTGATGTGAACCATGCTGCATTGGGGTAGTATTTCACTTGCATGTTCCTCGCATCAGACTGAACTGTCTGTCTTTCCATGACATTGATCAGGACGAGGCTCCGGCCCCTGCAGATCCGACAAGTCGTCCTGTGACCGGGAAAAAAAGGAAGGCCAAGCGCCCACCGACGAGGCGTGCAACTTGTCCGAACTTGGTGAGCTAGCCTACTGCATCCCGATGCATACATTTTCGGCAGCTGATACAATCACATGGTTGGTGTGCCCCTACACACGAACCTCCTAAGGAGATGCTGAAGAATGCCGCGAAACAGCGCATTCGGAGAATGGTCAAACCGAAGACACAACGTAGTGACCTAGCAGTACCGAAGTGGGTGGCTGAGCAGTGGAACAAGGGAACTTCCCAGAAGGAGGCTATGGCCGCACTCCTTCAGGAAGTGAACTGGGACAAGGTCGGGCTCCCTTGATGACCCCACTAGAACCCTAAAAATACAGCCTTCAAGCACTAAACACTAACCCAACAACTTACATGTGAATATGTCTACATATGCATATAAGTTCCATACTATGTATAAGTACATGTACAGTGTATTCTCCGTATTCAACTTCTACTATTTTAATACTACTATTGATATTCTTGTTTTCGTGTGTGTGTATATATATACATATGTATATATATATATAGCAGTTCCTACTATATGTTATGTATATATATATATAATGGTCTCCTTTGTTGGTATATATGCTATATATATATATAGAGAGAGACATACATATTTAATATATACACACATACAATCAAGTATTTAAAGTCTAGTCGGGTAATCAACATGATGGACTTGGGCTAATCGGCCTTGACAGACTACCTTCCTGAATGAGCTCGAGAAAGTGGTCAAGCGAACCCGTGAAATCGAGATTGTGAAGGATGAGGGATGGTATTCACAGAGTGAAATGAAATCAGACTTGAAATGGTCTACGTCGAGCCCTTACATTCACATGTGCTCTATAGGGTCTGCAATGTACATGGACATTTATGGGCAATACCCTCATGTTGTGGGGTCCGATGATCAAGGCAAAGGATCACTGCGGCAGTGGCCCACTGCGAGCGCAAGCCATCCGTCTTCATAAGGCGTGTATCTAGTCATGAGAGTATGTTGCACCCAATCACTCATGAACTGCCTAGACCCATCCCACTCTCAACTATCTACCTGTGCCTGCAGGAGGAACCTGTATGACGGGGTCCTGGAGTACTGGGTCACGGTCCGAGAAACGGGCCGGCACGTGGAGAGCCTCAAGGAGGAGGAAATTCACCGCAGCAGGAGCGAAGCCCCTCCGCTGCACACTCTTTTATGTGACTCATATATACATGTAGCTGGAACTACTTCATTGCAGTGCACGAACTTGATCGGTCGACACTCAATTCTGCAAATTTCAAGCAAGATCTCTCAACCTTCATGAGCACACAACTGCCGAGGCTGAGAAACCCATGGAATTGCCCGACGATGCTTTCGCTGGCTTCGACAACATGACCAAGCGGCTTCTCCCGGAGGCGGCAGGACCTGGGAGTGGCGACGACAAGAGGTCTGAGGGTGAGGCCTGTGTGCTGCATGTTGATTGTAGAGCAGGATGCCACGTGTAGACAGCATTGCTGTATGATTCGGATATTCCGATGCATGCCCCTGATGCCTTCAGCAAAAAGCCATCTTCGCGAAATTCATGGAGGGCCTCCTGAACAAGAGTTCCAAACTCCGGGCCTTGGTCAAGGATTTGACTAAAAATTACAGCAAGGCCTCCGACCTTGCTACGTCAGAACCCCAGTGTGACTAGTGTGCAAAGCTGTTGTAGTTGTGGCTGGCTTTGCTTAATCAAGAACCGGCCTCGATCATCGAAGCTCGCTCTTCCAGGCGTGTGCAGACCTTGGACGATGGCATCACGAAGTTGGAGGTGGAGCATGACAAGCTCAACTTGCACTTCGCAGAGGCTGAGATTAGTGGCTTCAACCAAGAGACCGGGCCTCACTGGGGTTCATTCTCGTGCTTTGGGCCATGTTCTTCGGGTCTGATGGATTCTGACTGCAATGTTTGCCAGCCTAGATGGTGGAAGAAAGCTGAGCAACTGATGAAGAGTGCTACATACGTGCCCATGCCTGAGACAGCCGGAAGGGTTTGAGGCACGGGTCAGCTTGTGTTCTTATTCTGTTTTGTTCTTAGATCTATAGAGCTGTATGATAGGTCGATGCTAGCAGGGTTTATCATGTCCTTTCCGGTTTGGGTATGTACACATATATGCACATAAAGGCCCTGCAAAGTGCCATAGAAATTACAATGAGGCTATTGGGCTTAGTGAGTGCAGTGGGCACAAAGCTAGGATGTTACTTGCCTCCATACCTAAATACTGCTGCCTCAGGTCTAGCCGAGCCACAGCCAGCGATCTTCGTGTGAGGACGAAGCCCAGCAAGCCCCAAAATCCCAAAAGCGTACAAAGCCTCATGAGCTCCCAAAGAACCCTAATTCCAATACTGACCTTTAAAAACTTTAAACACCAAACCCATATAATTACAATAACCTTACGTGGTGTATGCATGTATATATATATATATGTATATTATATATATATATATACATATATATATATATACATAGATATATATTTATTTATTCATTTGTTTATATATATATATATATATAGGTAAATAGAAGCCCTTAATTAGCACTCAAAGCACAAATCCCAAAACACCCACCCCATGAGCTCCCTAGAAACCCCACAAAACCAAATCATGCAGGAATGCCAAGAAGTACATGGACAAGGATGGCAAGGACGGTGCTGATGATCGGGCTGGAAAAAAAGCCCCGGTCGCGAAGGCTGCTCCCAAGGCCAAGGCCGTGGCCAAAGCGGAGCCGAAGGCGAAGCGCAGGAGGAGATCCTGATTTGTTTTGGAGGGACGGATCACTCGTCTGCTACATAGCAGGCACTCTGAGATCGATGATTTCACAAGATTCGTCAGCAGATGCAGCGAGGTTCGTGTTTCACACTGATTGTGTCTCTGCCTGAGCTCTTCCACTTATGTTGTTTCGTATCCTATATACTACAATGTAGTGAATTGAAAATGTCTTCGGTTGTTCATAGTAGGATCCTACTTGCGCTCGAAGAGTCGAAGAGCCTGGCATGTCTTATGTGCCGCATATACCACAATGTGTCTTTTGTAAAGTTTCCTATATCCTCTAGTAACCTAATAGATGATACTGTCTGCATATACGTGTATACATTTAAATTAATCAAAACTATACCGGACAAAGTTTTGTACTTTGTGTCTTTATGTCGTTTGCAACAGCCAGGGGCCAGGTGCATGGTCGTGTGGGCAATCTCGTTTGCTTTTTCGGCTTTCTAGAAGTCGAGTGCACTCACAATTTCGATGCTAGCTATGCTCACGGGCCGGGGAAAGGCTCATCGTGCGGACTCCGAAAGAAATCCAGTACAGCAGCTCTTCCTCCAGTGACTGTGCTTACATGTGCCAAATCCTACATAAACCCACATAAAACCCTATCCCCCGGATAATGCAGAGAAGGATTGAATCCACTATGTTCGATCCTATTTTTTGAACCACCAACAACATGGCCAGGTGCTGCAGGCCCGGCACTCCGAAGATGGATCCAGGACATCGGTGATGGGGCGCCGGACCTAGCCAGAGCTTCACTCGGAATTGCTCCTTGATGGTTTGGGCTTGCTGTGGATCTGGATTGTGGCTCAGACCATTGCTAGGGCAGGCTAGCGTGTAGATTTCCAAGGGGTTTCGTCCGATGGCATGTTCGGCCCCGGTGTCTTACGAAGATGCAGATGAAGAGCTGTGGGATTTGCTAACGTGTCATAGAAGTGCCGCTTGTTTGCAATCTCGGCTGTACAATACAATCCCCGAACAGAGAAACAGGTTTCTGTATGCAAGCATCCCAGGAAAAGGATGCTCCATTTCCATGGCTGAACCCGTCTACGTGGAAGGGACCTGGCTGTCGGCAAGACACATGTTCTCAGCTCGGTGCTGGCAACAAAGTGCCCCGCAATGCTGTAGCTTCGGCCCTGTTCCCCAGAAGTCAATCTTCTTGGAAAGATGCTGACCTCCCTGAAGAGTTGCTTATTCTCCCTACAGTCATGGATGTACTTAAGCGAGTTGATGCTCATGACAAAGTCTGTTGGAGGTTGCCTGTCCGTGTTCGAACAGCCGGAGGTTTTCTTCGTCATGCTATCAAAACCATCGATTCTTTGCATACCAGATTGTACCCAATGCTGTTCAAGATCGGCGTGACCCACGACGCAGTCAGGAGGTGGGAGTGTCCGGAATACGGCTACATGCATGAGAAGGATCGCTGGGCAGGCATGATAATACTCTTTCTATGCCCCGAGAAATTCTCCCCGGCAATGCTGGAAGCTGCTCTGATTGAGAAATACAGCGGTTCCCTGGTCGATATTGAGAACCATATTCTATCAGTCCCGCTAACCTACCTATGGCTATGTATTCGTTTACAACCTTTATATATGATTCTTAAGTACTCTCTACTTTGACCCAGCCAAGGTGTGCCTGGATGTCGAAATGTTCGGCTAGGCGGAGACAACCTGAGCAGAGATGATGCATTGCCGGCTGTGCACATGACGTATGTGGTGTACCGGAGTTTGAAGCATAAGCCGCGTGATTAGCTGGGCATCTGATTGCTGCACAATTCAATCGGAATCCACGTGCACTCGATCATGCAAGCAGCTGAAATGGAAACTGCTTGAGCAATCTTTAAATTAGTTTAAGTATGCACCAACAACGTGATTCTATGGAGACTTCCCCGATCAATGGAAAAGATGAGTCTGCCTCGGTCTGATTGATGTGCTATATGTCTTAGTTTCGCGCTTTTTCAAAACGTGTGACTTTCAATCTGCTGCGTGCACTGTAACTCTTCCGCCCACACCGACACCTCACGTGCTGTGCCGAGGCCCCGGTGGCCTCCGCGATTCGAGCTGCCCGTGCGGTGCTTGAAGAAGTGCCAGAAGCTATGGGCTCCAGCATCAGGATTATGGCTGGGTGTGGTGAAAAAAACAGTGAGCGTGATGCACACAGAGTGGCCAGACGGTGCCGGCTGACACTGCCCATCATGATTACTGAGGTCATGATTCATGGTTGGCAGGTCCCCTTGATTCTGCTGAGTGCATGGCTCACGTTTTTGCTTGGTCGCAACCTGCTTCACACCTTGTCGGGCCTCCCCCGCCCTGACCTCGCAAGAAGTCACGCCACCTGGAAATGTTTCTGGTCACGGTATCAGAAGCTATACCCGAATCACGATGTATTCCGCAGGGCAGCAAGAGGAGAGCTTGATTTGTCACGAACCGTTGGCTTGGTTCTACACGGCGACGAAGGGAGGACCAAGAAAAAGTCTGCAATCCTGGTTCTTTCATGTCACTCGATACTAGGCTACGGTAGCCATGCCACGGATCCCCAACCCGAACCTTATTGCAAGCAGTACCTGAACATGACCGGCCACACTTTATCTACCCGCTGGGTTTTGGGATGCCTTCCGAAGACTTACTACGACGGTGAAGATGGTGATAATTTTTTCCAGGAGTATCTCAACGTGTTCGTAGAGGACATGCTTCGAGTTTACGAGAAAGGCATCAAGGCAGCGACAGGCGAAGTATATCATTTCGTGGTATTGAACGTCATAGGAGATTGGCCTTGGTTCGTCAAGGCTTTCAACCTGATCAGAAATTTTGCGAACTGCTCCAAACAGGAGACTTCAAGGGCCCCCTCCAAGGGCATTTGCCATGTGTGCAAAGCTGATATGACGAATTATCCGTTCGAAGACTTTACTTCTGCCTCCCCGGCCTGGCGTGCGACAATCAACGAAGAACGAGGGTATTCGGGTTCGCCGAGCTTATTGCGGCTGCCCAAAGATCCTACAGATGAAAGCGCGTTCCTTGGACAGGATATTTTTCATGGCTGGCATTTAGGAGCGGCTAAGCAGTTCCTCGCTTCTTGTTTGGTCCTCTTGCAGGAAATATTCCCTGGTAGAAGTATACCGTCAAGGTTCGAGGCCATGTCTGCGGATTTTTTCTCTTGGTGCAAGCGCCACAAGCTGAACCCCTTGATCAGAAGAATCACACGTGAAACCGCTGGCTGGCCAAGCGCTGCAGACTACCCCTGCGCGAGCTGGAACAAAGGATCAACATCCACTTGTGTTTTGCGCTGGTTTCTCAGTGCTTGTGCTCGGCATGCACATTTGATCGAAGAAAGATCAATTCTTCAATATGCTTGTATGGCAGCACGTGAGATCAATCTCTTTCTGTCGAAGAGCTACAAAGAGGCTGTTTGGGTCTCGCGGCTCAAAGGTTTGGAAATTTGCGGGCACGGCTTCCGATTTCTACGCTTGCTCGGCCATTGCGCTCGGTTATCATACGACAGTGGGCGCCCGCTGTTTTTGATGACCCCGAACGTTCACCACCTACACCACTTGTTCTATCTCACTTGGGATCACGCGCAGGTGTCAGAGTGGACACTTAACATATGTGTCTTCTGCTGCCAGATCGAGGAAGACTACATAGGACGACCTAGCCGCACATCGCGGCGGGTCGCTCCTCAACAGGTAATTCGTAGGACACTAGAAAGAGTTCTAGCCGCATCCTACGCCAAATTCGTAGAAGCAGGGTTTCTGATCCCATGCCAATTCCGTGCCTGATCCGGTAGCTACTGAACGAAATTCTATGACCGATGAGTGCAAAAAAAACAGAATCCACCAGGCAAGAATTTGCATAGAGATGCCCTGTAAGCCCGCTGCATCGAGTCATGGACGACGATCGTGGAGTGCATGAAGCCGAAAAGGTTCCACGCATCAGCAGTTGCAGGAGCTTTCATGTCGAGATCTATGCTTATGTTATCTTATAAGACCTACGTCTGAATCCCCCAAACCCCAAAACCTGGTTTCCGTCTACAAAACCTGGTTCTTTCCACTAACCTGCTTTATAATGGGTTTCGGAGGGCGTAGGTACGGCCTGGTCGGACTTCACCCAGGAGGAGGTCGACGCTATGGGCCCGCTCATGAAGCAGTCGCTGACCAGGCGCTTGGCCCGCTACGAGCAGGACTCCGCTAAGGCCAAGGCCAGAGCTGAGGCCGAGGTCCTCGCTAGAGAGCAGGCCCGGAAGAAGAAAGCCGAGCACGACGCTAAGGTCGCACA